GGGCTGAAAATTTGGCTTAATGTGCAAGAGGACTCGAAGAGGATGGATGGAGTGACTGTGTTGTATTGCTGAGAATATAGGTGTATCTGTAACAGGGAATCAGAATCGGTGACGGGCGAGTTATAGACAAAATCTGAAAACATGACGCTTCTTTATAGAATTTGTTCAGTAAATCTTTTTGCAAGAATCTTTACTCTGCAGACTGGAAATAGCTTTATACGTAGAAAAAAATCAGCAGTTATTCGAAGTAGGATTCGAAATACAAGTACTTTTTTTCATCATATTTGAGCGTTTTCTAAACACCGTAACTCTGACTATTAGAGCGGTTTTCTATAGTGTCGTAAAACCAGAACCAAAGTAATCACTCTAGCCAATCACAAAGGACACAGGCAATCCAGTGAACCAATCAAAAACTCGAACTAATGACATGTAGCCGACGCAAAGCGCGGGAAAACGTGTGTGAGCGAGTCATGATTGGTTTTGGTTTTACTCTTGATTGGATGAAAAAGGGGCGCGAGTTTTTTAAGCCAATCGTGTAGCGTAGTTGATGCAAAACCAATTACTTTTCGACACCCAGTTGAAAACCGCTCTATTATTTGTAATAATGTAAGCAATGCAAATCATTTTAACCGATGTACCGTGCTTAGCTTCAGTTTCACCGAAGCCTTTTTTTCGAACTGTGCAGTTTACATTTTGCTTTCTCTTCAGGAATGAGTCGACAGACGATAATACAATTGATTTACATGGTTTGCACGTTACAGAGGCGATTGAAGCTCTTGAACGCATGCTGACTGAAAGAAGCGGTACGTTTACAACATTTGTTTAAGGTGGCCGAACACAGTTTTCGCGCGCGCTTTTGCTTATGCAATTCAGCGCACGCACAAGGATTGCAAAAAATGATACAAATAACCAAACAAATAATCAAAACCTTACGTTTTCTAGTCCTTCACAGAAAGTCCAAAAGACAGCTCCTCATCACAATGTTAATAAACCTCACTTACAGCAGAAAGCAAATACTGCCCACCAACTACCTTACCAAAGAACATTCCACACTCCACCCAAAGATTTGATGTTTCAACCACCACCTCCTATACAGAGACAGCTTCAACCTTTTGTACTGCCTCAAGGATTCAGCCATACACTTCCACGCAATGCACCACAACAAAGGTTTGCTGTTATGCCAAACACACAATCTCCATGGCAACAAGGATCCATGATACAAAGACCTATGACTGCAGGACATGTGCCTTACCACCACCCCCAGGGGACATTTGCATTTCAACCCCAGTTCCCATTTGGAAGAGGTATGTGATTTTGGTTTTTTCAGGTTGGTATGTCAGCTCCTCAAGGCACAGAAATGCAAGTTACATGTACAGTGCTTGCATTCATCAGCATCTGGTTTGTATTATCTATACAACTGGAGTGGTCTTCACCCTCATGTCACCATTTCATATCATCTACAGTATGTCAAAATTATGTTTATGACATACCACCCACATGATATAGCTTAAGTTATCTTCTGTTGACTAAAGATTTTATTTTTCCNGGACAAAGCCAAACTAGGGTAAAAACTGTTGCTTATTAGGAGAAGGTAGGGTGATCGAGTGGTAGAGCGCCCGACTTGCAATCCGGAGGTCTCGGGTTCAAGTTCCGCTCTGACCATAAGTCAACTGGTCTGCCTCTTCCCAGTTGGGATTTTGAACCATGTTACATGTATGTTCATTTACTTTTTTGATCCCCCCCCCCCCCCCCCCCGCCCTGGGTGGGATCCTTGTCTATTCCATGGCTATTCCCAGCATTAAATTCGCTGGCATCATTAATACACCTGGGTGGAGAGAGGTATTGTGTGAACACAACCCAATGACCTCGGCCAGGGCTTGAACCTGGATCACTCGAGTAAGATTCCAGTATGCTAACTAATAAACTGTCAGGGCCAGGTTGTTCAAAGCCCTATTAAGCTAACCCAGGATTAGCGAGAATTTGATTTCAGTTTTGTAACTTTTCGGTGAGGTTTTCTGTTAAATATATTGTTTTTCCGTCTGTTTTGAATTGGAGTAATCTCAAACTACTTAAAGTATATACAGTGAAAAATAATTTTGTACAAGAAAAATCAATACTTCGGTTGACGTTTCATCCTGGGTTAACGTTAACCGACCGTCGATCAACCCGGTCCAGGCCGCCGCGTCCTTTATGGACGAAATGTATTCTCGCACGTATCTTTATTAATTTTCATACTTTTGCTCAAGACGGAATCAACATGGGGTAAACATGGCGGCCATAATAAGAATGAAAGAACGGTTTGAACATGGTATGACTGTGGAAAAGATTACAAACTCCGAGAAAAAACTTGATGCAGATAGGACTGGAAATGAAACTGTGACTACAAAGGGCACTGGTAGCGACAATCAGAATCCCAGTCCCAGACCTCAAAGTTTATCAAAAGAGAGAAGCCCACAGGAACTGGATACGAGAAGGGCGGAGAACTATGAGGTTACGTCTGGAGAGAAAACTACTTCGAAACTTGAAGTGAGTGAAAAGATAAGTTCCTTGCAAGTTATGGAAGATCAAAGTAGCTCTGAAGCGAAAGAAGAACAATTTAATGGGCTCAGAAATTCAAGCGAGAAATGTGTTAACCTGGATGAGAAATCAGTCAGCGACTCCAAAACTGGAGATAGGGAAGAAAACTGCACTCACTCTGCAGTGAATGATCTTGACATCGGCAAACTCGAAGAAGGAGCAGATTGTAGCTTGACAGGAGAATATGATGTCAGTTCTAGTCCAAAGCCACAGCGGATTCAAAGGGTGAGAAACAGGAGAACACCAAACAGACAACAGCATATCAATACAGAGCTGTCAGCACTTGACACTGAACATGAACGCCAGGGTAACTGCTCGTCCTGTGACAATCTTGATAAACCCGACCTGCATAAGATGCCCAGCCAAGGGGAGGCATCAGAAGAAAGCAGCCCGGTATATCGTGTGGAGACTCTATCAAGACTTGCGTCCTTAGCTAACAATTGTACAGTTTCTCCCGTTGTTTCTTCGAGTGGAAGTGTCATGGACAGTCCCGCAGTTACTGAATCAGCAGATGTATCGAAGTCGTCAATCTCCCCGCTCTCGCACAATCCGTTAACAGACTGTCAGCCAATCACAGACCCGGTAAACCCTGCTTGTTTAAATGCTTCTTCCTTGGAGTCTGATGGAGACGCAGAGGAGAAGAGTGACTCGAGCAAGGAGCCCATTAAGGGAAAAATCACTTGTGAGGTAGAATTCCCCAACAGAAGGACGTCATTGCCTCTTACGCTCACTCTTGAAGATGACGTCACAGACGCATACAGCGGAAGTGACGTGGAAAGACATGGAGAGCCTTCTGGAGGCAATTCTATCCCTACCCCTCCACCCTTGTCAGCACTTCTGGCGTCAGCTTCAAGAACGAAATTGAAAAGACGCGCAAGGTCCAACAGCGATCCAACTCAGCCAATCACAGACTCGGTGAACTCTCCCGAGGGAATCACTCTGAAACTGCCTCGGGAACCTAATCAGGTCGCCGGGGAACTGGAACCGAATGAGTCGTTACAAAGTGTTTGCAATGATAACTCTGGTCAAGAAAACATCACTTCAGACAAAGATGTTTCCACTGACGCGCAGAACCTGTCTGACGTATCTGACGTGTCACCGAGTTCATCCGGGGACTCGCCGAATGACATGTCCGCCCAGCTGGAGTTTTTGAAAACGTGTTTCCCGGATGTGGGTAGTGATTTGATGAACGCGTTGTTAACCACTAATAGCGGCGATGTGATGAAAGTAGTTGATGAATTGCTGGCCAGCGGCAGTGCAGAAGAAAAATCGGCTGAAGACACAGAAGTGGCCGAAGAGAACGTTTCCTCAACTGAACTTTCAAACATTCCAAATTCGCCTCCATTGCCCGTGCATAACACACCCTTCAACGCTTCGAATGAAGAAGAGCAATCTCCACCACCCAAGGAAATGGGCGAGGTCATTGACCCCACTGGCGGGTTTAATCAACAAAACACTGATTCCCGTGAACATGGCGAGATTTCCAGCGACACTCCTCCTCAAGAGAACAGAGCAAGTCGTCCCAGGGATCTGGAACCCAGGCCTCTGACCCGAGGTCAGTCCTCTAGTCAAAGCAGCACCGCAACTTTTCAGCTGACGCTTGAGCCCGCAGTAGCTCTACACCTCATTGAGATGTTCGGTTCTTTTGCTGGAGTTAACTTTCAAGGTTTGTAACGGCAGCTCGTTTATTTTGGGTTTTTAACCTGTGTCCTTCCTTGTGTTTTCATTAGGGTAGTAATGGATTAAAAACAAAACGAGCCAAAATAAGTGAAGAGGCCAACCTCAACAAAAAACAAAGCGAATCAGTCAAGCATACCTCTCAAAACAAAGCTAATTCTAATACTTACAAACGACTTATTAATGTTAAAAAAAAAGTGCAAAAATCGTTTTAACTTACCTTTACTCGTCGTGAATACGCAAAAAATAAGGTCTGATGATGGGTATAGTTTAGCCACATGCACTCGCTCCCAAGGAGAATTTGACACCGCTCAGTCAATAATTACGCGCAGTTCGTATTGGGATACCTGCGTAATCCTCCTTTGGATCTAAGGACACAGGAAAATCAGTTAGCTATTTAGGAGTAACAAAGGATTGCAACAAAAATCTAAATTTTATTTATATACGGCCGAGGAATGTCTGAGAACATCTTAAACCAACGAGTTTTTTTCTCTGGAATTTCTAAGAAAAATCTTGAAATTAATTCACGTTGTTTTCCTACTTCACAGAGGATATCAGTCACGAAGATCTTATCATAGATGTGGACAACTCTTTAGCAAGACAGTTGCATAAAAAATGGGAGAAGAGTATCCAGGTATAAAGCTTTCCATTATACTGGCCATAGAGAACGAGTAGTCTCTCTTTCGCTTAGTCCGTCCTGGGCGCTTCTCGCCCCCAGGATTTCGCGCGGTCATTTTTCCTCGCAGGTTTCTTTCGCGTCACGCACGAGGACCAAGCGAAAGAGGGACTACTCGTAGTATATAATGACCACATCTTGTCATCCTTCTCCTCAACCTCCGCCCTGAAATGTATTTATTATTTTATTCATTAATTATCTATCCAAATCCATTTAGAATGCAATAATTAACAGGAGCTTATTGAGATATAGCCTTGCAAATGATCAGGGTCAGCCAAGCGGTCCCTTTTACAGTGGTCCCTATCCGGTAGCTCCGTTCAGTTGTTAGAGCTCAGTAAACATATACATCGATGGCATTGACTGTGTTTAACTTGTAAAATTCTCCTTGGGTTACAGATGAAAAAGGGGATTTCTGCTGTTAAAAGAGGTAAGAATTTCTCTTTTGCTCGAGCAATATATGTTTTTGTTTAATGAGTGTTTTTTTTTTGATATGTTGGCCGGGGGCTGCGTACGAGTAAATGCTTCTCAACTTATGTGCAAAGAAGTGTCGGTGTTGTAATAAATTCAGAAACAAATTTTCCTTGTTTCTTTTTGGAACGGAAACCTTATAAAAATCAAAGAAAATGTTTCGGTGTTCCAACAGTAATTTGGCTTTTTTTTTTTTCAAAGTATTATGGGGATACCGATAAACTTGAAAATGTAAACCTCTCGTTTTCAAGTCTGTCTGTGTGTGCCAAATTGAAATCGATTTCCAACCTTACTATTGTTAACCTCTCATCTCTTGGTAATAGCTTTCTGTAATTGGCCATTTTCGAGTTACCTTGCGCCTCTGTTTCGGAACCAGTCATCATGCCAAACCTTTCGTCTGAAAAAGAGTTTGATTGGCATAAAAATGAATCTGTAGGTGGAAACATTTTCATATGAATGATTTCGCACGAAGACTGTTTTGATACGGAGGGAAAAGGCAACTCGGAAGTGGCCCATTTGTCAAGTACTTTGGTACAAGTTCAAACCATTATTGCTTTATGCCAGTGATAGTGATATTTCCCTAATGCTCTTTTTTAGGTAGTTCAGAGAAAGCAAAAGTAGAACCAACTGGTAACGATGCAATCCAGCTTAATCGTGACCAGCGGTCACCTCAGCGTCCGCGAAATGAACCTCAAGCAGGTATTATAAATGCTGTAGAACATTCACATAGTCAGCTGCATCATTAGGAAGTTTAAGAAAACCACAACGGCAACGAGAACGTCGCTAAACAAAAGGTTAAAGGAGGAAAACAATTGCTGTGCACGTGCATAATAATTCTTGGTACATTTCTTTTCCTTCCTCTGTAAAACAACAACGTGAAATGACTAAATCTGCGTTGTGTGGAGAACGTGAACTACGAGATTTGTAGATAAATTAAAAATTCATTTCTTAATCGACGTTGTCTTCGGCGTCGCCGTCTTAGTTATTTAAACTCCCTAGTAATGTTGTTAACTGTTTTTTCCTTGTGTTGTTAGGAAACTTGAGAGAAATCATGGATGAACAACTCGCGCTGGAGCTGAGCAGGAATGTTAGTATATCGTAACGTTTGTGTCAAAGAGTCTTTCGCTTTGAATTTACGGTCGCTGATTTGTTCAAAACCAGTGACTCACTTGTAACAAGGTTTTTCTTTTTAACTTTGNTCATTTAATGACTGGTCCCTTGGGGAACAGTGACTTTTGTTCCCCTCGAATCTCAATGTTTCCCTCGACTTCGTCTCGGGAAACATTGTGATTCTCGCAAAACAAAATTCACTGTTCCCCTCGGGACCAGTCATTAAGTTTTAATTATAATGTTTATTATAGGCCCAAAGCCAAGTTATCACATCTGACCAATCACACGAACACAATTAACGTAATGAGCCAATCAACTTACGAAGAAATAACATGCTCCTGATGTTAAGCGCGGAAAAATACGCAACTGTTACCAAGCGCGGAAAAATATGCGACCGAAGCCAACTGAGAGAAAATATGGGGCCGAGCATGGGTAACATTCAATCGTGTCAAACGCGGGGTACACGAGTAAACAAAGACACTCTTAGCTTTGGTTTTCTTCTCTGCAAAGTTTTTGTACGACAGTGGCAACACCAAAGCAATTGCGCACGGTCCGCAGAAGGTTCTTCTTAGCGTTATTCCGCTCCTAGGCGAATGTGGCTTGTTATTGAAGTACTGTCTTTGTTTTCGCAGCTTTGAACTTGCTCCATCAGTAGAAGCCGTGAAGGCCTCATGTAATTTACACGGTCGGGAAATCCCTAACACTGTTATAGCAAGTGGGTTTAGCGGCCGTGCAATCACTCAGGAGGAAGCCACAAGAAAGGTACACTGCGTGACGCGTGACGTTTTATCCGTGTGTCACACTCATATGTTTAAATTGTCACACACTCGCATTTTTCAAACTCGTGAATGTGCGGTTGGGAATCCCTCTGCGATTGAGCGCCAGACTGCTAACATATTGAATTCGCGAATGGGACTTTGAGCGCAAAGCTCAATGAGTTTGCTGTTCAATTCTGAAAGGTCTCTGAAGAGTCTCTTTGCCGAGACGAAACGTCGCGTCAGACTTGCCACGAACTGTTTTTCATAAGTATTTGTCACATTTATCGCTTGAAGTTGTAATTTTATATACGATTTTTTTTCTTTCTCTCTGTTAGGAAGCAGAGGAAGACTGGAGTTGGTTATACCTGGATGGTAAGCGAAGTCAAATAAAGAAACGAAAAACAAAATAATTATTAAAATTAACTTTATCTTGGAGCTAGGGAGTCAAACTAGGACGCAAGATGTAACGCAGCGTAAAATGAATCAATACACATTGGCATTTAGTTTTGTTAGTATTTTACAGTTACTAAGTGTAGTCTGTCCACAGACTGTCTATTTTGTCTTAAGTTCATCGAGATCCCACACAAAATATTTACCGTCGGGGACATGAACGAGCCAAAATGCGCTCCTCGCTCGCTCTCGCGTTCTAAGAAAAATAACTCTCAGAAAAGCAAAAGTAAAAAAAAGCGTCTGTGAGCAGACTAACTAAGTGTTACCGTTGTGGCAATTATGTCTTCTCCAGCTTCCTCTCGGCCAAGATCGGACGAGGCCTCGTTTCAGACCCTAGAAGAGCCGAGCTACTTGGATTATCGCGCCGAAGCTTTTCAACATTGTAAACAGAGAGACGAGTGCTTTAAGAAAGCCGCGCTGGCCTTCTCTAAGAAACAAGGACAGCTGGCACAATTTTACGCACAACAGGTAAATATGGATTGGTGACCTTGGCAGTGAAATGCTTAACTGAGATGTTGACACAAAGCGAGTTTTTCAAGTACTTTCCCTTTAATGTGTCAACATTTTCATTTAATATTCATTTCACAGCCAAAGATCGCCATCCATNTTATACAGTTATAGTAAGTTTAGGTAATCGTGTAAATGCGAGTGCAATAAGGGATTACGCTACGAGTGAAATTTGAAAATTCTGCTCTCAAAATTGCACTTTTAAGGGGAGTGCAATTTGAAAGAATTTTCAAATATCACGAGTATTATAAATCCTTAATTGCTCGAGCTTTCATTCGATTTCTCGTTTATTAAATGACTCTGAAAATTGCGAACGCGCCTGTCTTAATTTGCACTGCAGTGCAAATAGAAAGGAATTATAAATTGGCCTGTTCTCAGCCAATCACAGTGAAAATCTCAGTCAAATTATAAGCTCGGAAGTTTTTTATGTCGATAAATGGCAAAACCAAGATAATTTTCTGAACCGCTTGGCGTTTTTAAACAAGGATAGAATAATATGAGTTTAATATAGTGGCGTCAAAATGAAAAGAGTGTATGATATATCTCAAAGATATCCGTCTTTCCCAGATCCTCACGGTGGTCAGCCCAGAAGAGGTTACAAGTCCATCTCCGTAGTAACTGGACGAGGAAATCACAGCCGTGGAGGAAAGGCTCGAATAAAACCTGCTATTCTAGAATATCTCAAGAAACACAATTATAGGTGAGGTGATTTTCATCTGCCGTGCATTGTGGATGAGAAACCGTTGTAGAAACATAGTTGTTGCGTTTCTTGGGTAAGAAAACGAGCGGCAAGCAAAACAGTTGTTTATCTGTCGCGTAATTCAAGAAAAGTAAATTATTATGCATGCGCAGTAATTCATGCACTACGAAATTGAAACCTCAACAACGACAACAACCTTAATTGTAGTCAAGTGAAAATACAATCTTAATTTGAATGAAAAGATCGTGGTATTTAGTACCCCACATTAACTAATTCGGATTTTTGTTTTCAACAATTTTTTTTTGTTATTATTTTCCTTTTCATAGGTTCATGGAACCACACCCTGGCCTGGTTAAAGTTTACTTGTAGCAAGAAGGTGTCGTGAAGTTTTCATCTTCACAGCACTTGTAAATTTTCTGATTCAGTTTAATATCCAATCAGAGAACAGAGAAAGAACTCGCGTCATCGTAGCGGGATTAGTTGCTTAGCAACAATAGGACCAAAACTACGGGCAGTCTGGTGATTAAAGTTTGCCATCAACTGATAACTGACTCTCTTGGCAGTCCAAGAAAAGATTTTTAATACTCTTGCATTCGGAAACTGTTGTACTCAGTCAGCAAGCGAAACTATTGTTGTAAACTTTTTATATTTTATATAGTTTACCGGCCGGCCGGCGAATAGTTAGGAAGGTAATTGTCTTTGTAGTTAATCCCGTTTGGTCTTGGCTTGAGTGATTCATTTAAAATAGTATTTTCTAATTTTAATAGATTTTATGGCAGCGAGCCGCAGTAACGTTGTTAGTGTATGTAAACAATATAGCTCATGTAATGGGCGGATTTTGTTAATTAAAAAATAACAATAATGCGCTTTAACGCAACCATCCGAATTTTTCTTATCCTTGATTTGCCGAGTTTTATTGGCTGCGAATCCATTGGGTATCGTCCACTATATCATGCTTAACAAACATGGTCGACAAAAATCGTTCTCTTGTCGAGATGTACCGATATTCCGTGATTGTTTTTAATAACATAATTGTTCCACTCGTGCTTGCTGGACATAAAATGATTGAAGCCAACTTGCACGTACGCGAGTCTTTGGTTATCTCGTATCTAACAAGTGCGAAGGAAATAACTGTTGATCTCGAACGTACGCATTTTTCTCGTGAATGGGAATATTAGTATTTAAGTTTTAGCTTGAATATACCCAGAATGTAGCTTTCGGTCTGCTACCCTCGCCCACGTTTTCCTTGAGTGATGTTCAACCGTTGAGGGCACTCCCTTATATGAGCTATATACCCAAATGACCGGCCCCAAAAAGGTATGGGTTTTTGCCATTTTGGTCGGAAATAGCGTGGGAAAATCGCAGATTTTGGCCTTTAATAGGTTAAGGGTTTGGGAAGTACCCCCTTCCGCCGGGTGTTCGACTCGGCTGCCTCTTGTTGAGTACTCTCTCAAAGAAATCCACAGCTGGAACAGGCGGTTTTGCGGAGTTGTCTGGGAGATGGAGGAGGTGCCGCTTGGATCGCCCGCTACTCTCGCTTCGCAATCCACAGGGAACTGTCCAAAACATCCAAACCTTCAGCCGGATAACTCGTCAAGATGACTTCACTCTTTGATTAGCAAATGTTTCAGCACAAATAAAAACAATTGAAAAGCGATATTTTAGCTGTTTCAAAGTAACAAATTATTATATACACTGTAAGATAATAGTTTGACACTGACTATTTGTTGATGTTTCGTTCAAGACGTTTCGGCTGATGTTTGAACCTTATGCTTATTATATACGCTATGTTGTGCACTTTGATGGAAGCCTTATTGATGTACGGATGTTAAATGATTGGAAAGCCATTTTAATAGCTGTACCTTAATATGCTCTGTTCCCACATTTGGAGAAATTTTGTCTTCGAGGCCCGTCCACATTACGCAAGAGAAATTTGAAAACGCATCGGGTCATTTTGGACTTGCGTTTGAGGAAAACTCGAGCAGGGAAATCACGTGATTATTCTGACCCCATTGTTTTCGAAAAGCTCCGTTTTCAAAATGTTTTTCGCCCACTCCCAAACGAAAGCCGGCGTTTTCAAATTCGTTTTCGAAAAGCTCCGTTTTCGTGACGGATTAGAGTGGACGGTAGGCCTAACCATGGTAAGGAACCTCCGTTTTCTAATTTCTCCAGCATAGCGTGGACGGCCGTGACCTAAATGCAGATTGTTTTTTCCCGGCCATTCATCTTCTGGGTTTCACGCTCTCGAGCTCTCTAGAAAAGCACAAAACAAAAATCTAAATAAGAGAGTGTGTGGGTTGGACAAAAACACGTGGGTTTAAGTTTAACGACTTCCCGGACACCATTGTTTCTGATACCACAACGGGTTGCTAATTATCGTATAAATTGCTTTGCTTTCATGTACTTCCAATTTGTTTTTTAATCTGTTGTCAATTGAAGTTTTATTACGTGCGAGTTCCTACATTGCAATTATGGTCGACCGTGTGACGTCATTTTGATCAAAATCAATGGAGAATGAATGCTAACGATGGTCAAACACGTATTTTAGTATTTAAAACATGGCTAAACAAAACTACGCTTGAGAGATATTCACTCGATTTGCGGTGTTATCTCGTGACGGACGTGTGGTCAGAGAGGGGCTACCCCACTATGCCAACAGATTTAAAATAGAATTTAGATTAGAGAAAGGCGACAAGCGCGTTTGGTGTACTATAAAAAGAAGTCATTCAGCTATAAATCAAACACCGCGGACGTCGTATAACGATAAAGTTATTCCCCGATGGGATCTTGGTTATAAACCGGCAGATAGTGGAAATACAAGTCCATAACAACGTGGGTGTAATGTTATGGCCTCCCACATCTTTTCCAGCTTTTATATACTGACCACCTGTGAAGGCTTTATAATTATATGAGAAGTAGAAATATTTATGTTTATTTCCCTTTTATCGTGCTATTATTTAACTGTGATTTAACACACATACGAATTGCCCTCGCTGTTCCCTCGACGTCATTTACTCATTTTTTTGCAATGTTTATAATTTGACACTGCACATTTTTTTAGGTCCATAATTTTTATATATTTAGTTTTTGTGATCAGTCAAATTGATAACAGTAAATAATTCCTCTGGCTGTTGTAAGTCACGAAAGTTTGGGAACTGTATTTCATCTACAACACGGGTTGACGGTGAATTTTTTTGATGATTTTTCCTCTACTGATTTTCCCTTTTTTGAGCTTTCATTTAGCCAAGTCTATGCAATAAAAGATTGTCTTTTGTTTGTTTTTTTTGCCTCGAGCGTTGTCATTTTCGTAGACTTGACGTCAAAGATAGAGTTTTGTTTTACTTTATCTTCATCTCATAAAAGCAACTTGCTACTTTAACTGACCAATATTACCTGATCTTTGCCTTTAGGCATGGTTGATATCTGCACGCTTAGGGTTTCAATCTCTTGAAAAACAGTGAAACAAATATCTGGGTAAACACATGCACTCATTGCAAGAAAACCTGCGCACGCTAAATGCAAAGCTCGATCCTTGGGATTGTTTTCTATTTCTACAGTTTTGTAAAGATGATAAAAAAAGAAGAAGAACTTAACAGAATGCTGCAAAACCTTTCTAGTAAACCAGTTAGCGGTTGTAAAAGGTTTGTAAGCACAGGCGTAGACAAAGTTAGAACGGGTCTACATTCAGCTTGACTCAGGCGTTGGGAAAGTTTGTAGGTAAACTGAAAAACGCCATGCTAGCTTTCCAGCAAGCCTACCCTCTTCATTTCAGATCAGGACAACACTTTCTTGTCACATTAGTCAAGTTTACAGACTAAGAATTCCTGGTCTCGGTATCCGCGTTTTTTTTGCCTCGACACGCGTCTCTCAGATCCTGGAGCGACCAGACGCCTTGCTTTTCTGTCGCGTTAGAAAATTTTACGACGTTTCCAACTCAGTTCGCGTCAAACGAGCAAAACTAGAAGTTCAGTTGGTCACGTTTATAGCGTGCTAGTCATAAGGATACACAAGAGGTATGTCATTTCATGCGTCAAGAGGTAGAAACAATGGTGCGTTCATTAAGGCTTTGTGCGAGGTATGAACAAGCTGATTCACAACTTCAATTAGCTCCTGAGTGCACTCCACCCTTTGATTAAATAAATCTCTTTTAGCAAAGCACCCGAGTTGTAAACGACGTCTTTTATAAACGTCTCTTTGTTGGCTTTTTCACACATCACGCACTTGCATAATTTAGTTACTTTTACGAGTTGGCTATATTGCTGGAGTTTTACTGATATGTTTTGAGTTCGCGGACACGTGTAAAGCTCTTAGTTCTTCCGTGTATTCAGCCGTCATTTTTGCAGCTTGTATTTGCTTTTAAATTGGTGTTCTTGTGTGGCAGCTGATAATATCGAGTTGACATTTCCTAAAAGCAAATCTTTTTATTCCTATACAGTCGTGCAGTTAGTTATTCCTCTCTGTAGATTTCTGTGACACTCAGAACGTGCTTTTCATTGATTTGAGTTCTCCGCCCCCTGAGAGCTCCATTGTTCCCTTGTATTCGTCAGCTTTCTCTACTTCGCGATCTCTTTCTCGTGATTGTCTGTTAGAATTTCCTGTTTGGAGCCATTATCAAGACGTTGCCCGCCTTTTCATTGATTTTTGATTACGACTTGTCCTACAAGGAAGATCGTTAAGAAGTTGAAAGCGTTGGTAGGTGTCAATTGCATGATTCATGGTGTGCAATGGTGTGAAAAGAGTTCTATAATTAATACGAGCCACTCTGCAACACGCTACAAAGGACAAGCCAATCTCATTGACACAACACAATGGAACGGAACTTTTGTTTTCTAAACGGAAACAGCCCCTGCTGTGGTTTCACTTGATTTTTTTGTCTTATCTCTCTCGTACAGAGATATAAGTGCTTCTAGCTGTATTCGATCCAGGGTGTTGCAAGACTTTGAAGCAAGCTTGGCCGTGTAAAGACAATTCTGTCAAAAAAAGAGAAACATCGTGATAGAAACTCAATTCACACGTCGAATTGTCAAGTGACTTTCGAAAACTGTGCACTTTTAAGTGGCTGTAAATGCAATTTACATGTTCTCGCTAAGCAACTGTTGACACGTACTCTGTCATCTTCGGTTTTCTTGGTCAAGATTCACCGCGATTCAATTGCTGCTGAAAAAATTTCTCCTCACGCGTTTAAGTCACCTCGACCTCAGGTGAGTTCACTCAAGCGATCATTTTGTATTTCTCGCATTAGCTTCCCTTTTTTTCGCCCTTCTCTTGAGACTCTACTCAGTTTGTCGAGTCTAATATCATTAACTTTTTAATTCACCCTACTGCTAGTGAGAAAGTTACATTCCTTTGATATTGGAACTCTCTTGAGGCGCGCATAAAACGGGACGTAATTCTGTGAACCTATTTTATTTGCTTTGCCTTGGCTCAGAGCATGTCCTTTTCAAGTGCAATGCGAGGCGGAATCATCGTGGCAGTTCTTGTCCTCCTGAACGCTTCTCTGCACTTGGCAGATCGCCGACCTAAACCAAAAGGAAGCGTGGACCAAGTTACGTCGAAGAGGCTTCCACCGAGAAAACCAAGGCCGACGAGTTCTCCCATGAACCATGTCGCACAGTGTGATGGAGAGAGTGTGCCAATTCTACCCCCAAGTTTCACATACCCCGGCTCTTTGTGGTCCGTCAGGGCCTTGATGTTTTTGCAGATCTTACCTGATGGCACTGTGAACGGAACCTTGGAATCCGCGAATCACTACGGTAAGCGTTGTTTTCCTGAATAACTTTTCTTTTGCAATTTCTAGCAAGCTGGCGTGAACTCTGCCATTCGTTTTTCTACGGTTCAACAGGCTTTCGGCGGAGTAATCGTGCCATGCAGTCGGTTGCGCGCAAAGTGCAAATCGCGCGCGCGAGTTGAGGCCTTAAAAAATTAGAAAAACGTCAAAAAAATAAAATTCTGCGTTTTCTGAAACGGTTTTTCGAATTTCAGTCATTTTAGGCCGAGTAACACGCCTTTAGGCTTAGATTAATCAGTTAAACACGGTTATTAGAAAATGTTTTGTACATTTTGGCTCTAGTTGAGTTGCACTGCAGGACAGTGTCTTAGTATGTTTACATGTTTACCATAGTCCCAGGGTTTTTTGGCTCAACTTTGCAATAAAGCTTCGTTGGGGAGCCCATCTCTTACGTACGTCTCTCTGCATGGTGCCCAGCGTGAACCATCTCACCCAGAGCGAAGCAAAGAAACATAGCTTGAAAGACTCCATAGCTATCGCCCTTGGGCATGTTAATTACACATTTGTCCACTCTTCATTTTGTTGAAGTCAATTTATTTTCCAGCTTGAGTGGCAAAACCGTTAGCTTTTGAAAGCACACATTTGTGGTTTCCTTTACGTTTTAACCTGGTGAATAGCAAGAACACACGTAGGACTGGTTATCAGAGAATGGAAAACCATGAAAACAAACTGAGATATTTGTCGGCCTTCCGTCACAAGTTAATCTACAATATCAAACTCTCTGTCGGCTTTGTTAGTTTCGTTTGTTAATGTCGCTTTACAAGTAAACAATTCTAATGTGTTTAGATGTTTTCAGCGCTGTGACGCAAGCCAAGCACTCGGAGAAATATGGGTCCCAGCAATGTTCTTCCGGATGCTAACCGGTAGGCTTCCATGACAGACTCAGATTTACGACAAAATTTACTAATTGGAATCTGTAGGATCGCTTTTTTTGCCATAGTGATCAGAATTACAACATTTTAATACGATTAGTGAACGAGTATCTTTTCACACGTCGTAAATGGTTTTCCGGTTTGCTATATAGGTTTCTCTGCGACACTTTCACGACTTAACTACAGCCGGCACATTACAGTTACGAAGCCTATTAAATCCTTAAGTTGAAAGCATCACCGCTTGAAGGAATATCCAATTCAAATTTAAGAGACATAGTGTTCAACCCATTTGAGTATCACATCCACAGATTTCGCAACCGCCTGCGGTCAAAATGTTATTTCGTTTATGGCTTTGCTAGAGCAAGGCACCTCCTGTAACAAGTTTTCTTTCCACTCAGGGATTCTTGATGTTTTCATCTACCGAAAAAGGATTGCTAATTTGCACCGTGGCGGCAAAAGGGTCTCATTCTTTTGAAATAACGTTTACTGCTGCCGAACAGCTAAACTAATCTATCGATTACCTTCTTTGAAACATCTGAAGAGGAAGTAAACGGATCCTTTTAAAAATTGTTAATACGATACGTGGTTTCGGTCTCAAAATCATCAGAAAACAGTCGCGAATAAAAGAATCAAGATATACGCCCCGGAAAAACCACTTAGCGCAATTTCACAAAGCTGGACAGAGGGAGGTCATTTCTGTATTGAAGCACTTGTATGTTTGAGATGTTCTGGAGATATTTATTACAATGTATTGGATTTATTCCGAAGTTCAAGTNAAAAAATACTGCAGGCATTCTAGTGCCAAAAACGACCACTGAGGACAAAAAAATTCATGCACGTTCAGTGAGCCTACAATCAGCATGTTATAACGAGAAACAAATTTTCTTAGTTCACGAAAAAGGTTTAAAAATTTCGTGCCTATACCTGGTCACCCGCCCCTCCCCCTCAAAAGTCCAGTTAGATGCTAGCGCTCATCGTAAGAAATACGAAATATAATTTCATTTTTGGCCAGTGACTGTATAATTATAATTATATATGCATGCTTGAAAATGACTTCAAATCTTTTAAAATGGCGGTCCATTGCATTCATCAGTGGTGGAGGACTTCAGGAAAAAGTTAATATTTGTAAAGCTTTCTCCCACATTTCATGTGATTACTTATCTAAGGGGGGTTGTGGAGTGTCCAAGACTACTTCTCAAACTCATTAATAATTCCGCGAGTCTAAACAAAGAAAATCATGATGGTGACAGTGTTTGGATATCTGATCTTAATTAGCAGAGATTTTTACGATTCTATTTCTCCGTTTTCTCCTTAGTTTAAGTTTCGATTGAGACGATATCAAACACTCAAGACAATGTTTGACTACATTTCCAAACACCTCAAAGTCCTCAAAGTTCGTCAAAAATACTCCCCTGCGCGTCGTATTTTCAACTCTCGTCTCGGTGTTTGGAAATGTGGTCAAACAAGGTCTTTCGTGTTTGATATACTACATAAATGCTTAATTTGACTTTTTACTCCTACAGTCCCAACCAGACCCCACCAGGTCCATTTTCACCGTTCAACTACAGAGGATTTTCTTCACTTTCAAAAACGGCGATTATTTCATCGCGTTAAAGCAAGGAGGCGGTATAAAGAAGATCAAGCAGGATGAGAATGGTCGGAGCCACAGGAGAAGCACACGGTTCGTTCTGTTGCCACGACCTGTGCGGAAACGAAGATTTCCGGCCGACTTCGGATTGAAACAAACCACATCAAACAACTTGAGATTGAAACTCTTTGGTAACTTACACCGACGCCGACATGACAAATAAGTAACAACGAAATTAGTTGGTAAACCATCGTAACTTAAAAGCTTGACCCCCGAGGGGGGCAGGGGGGACTCCCAAATGAAAAGGTCTCGGATGCTCTTCGTCTCAATTAGGGGTATAAATCGAGGATTCTGGTCTCACTTAGGGTGTTTAAGACGAAACGCCACTATTTTTAGCTGTCAAAGTATGTTTTAGGCTGCACTCTAGGAAAAAAAATAATGAAAAAATGTTCTTATTTTCGTTTTTAGGCTCGATTTCCGCCGGTCTGGAGAGACCGGCGGAAATCGAGCCCGTTCCTGATCAGCGGCTTGTAATCGAGCCTATTTCGTCAGTTTTAAAACGAAAACTGGTATCTTTTAGGCGCCAAATAAAGCTCGAGTCACGCTCAGTTTGGTCTCCTGTAGGGGTTTTAGTTCCAGTTTTCCGACGAGCGTCTCCGATCTCTTCCTATGGGATTCCACCCCACCCACTCTCCACCCCTCCCCCTTTCCGATTGACCTTTGCGGTTTGCACTTAACAGGTTTGCTTCTTTTTATTTTGAAAACGCAAAACTGCTCCGCAGATTGTTTACTTTTACTGTTAACTAACGCGAGCCAAGTTGAAGTGCATAGCAGGTGAAACTTAAAATGAACAAGGAGAAATTATTTAAGCACAATTGAAACCTCAGAAGTGAAAAGTGTCCCCTTCATATAGCTCGTTTCCAGTTTTTATCTGCGTTTTATCTGCAAGTCAATGGCCGTATTTACCTAGGAAGAAGAAGAATACGTAACAGACGTATAATGAGAAGATAAAAAAAAGGAAAAAAATCTAGGAAGAGATTGTTGCTCGTTTGATTACAAAATTCACCGTTCAGATAAGTTCGCCTGTGTTATACGTCTTGTATTTACCTAGATATCATGTATAATACATCTGTTTATTCGCCCTCCAGTTCCATAAAATTGTTAAGTTTCGTCGGACTTTTAACGCTTTTCATTTTTCTTATTTACCTACAAGTCTGCATGTCAGCCAATCAGGTTGTCGCTTATTTCCGGTTTCTGTAAGCCACTAATAGTATTTCTACTCCCCCCTGGATGGGATGCTAGTCCATCGCAGGGTTACCCGCCAGCATTAAATTCACCGGTACCCATTTGTACACCTGGGTGGAGAGAGGCACTGTGAGAGAAGTGTCTTGCCCAAGAAAACAACACATATCCTCGGCCAGGGCTTGAACCCGGACCTCTACATGCGAGCGCACTAACCAGGGGGTAGGCCACCACGCATTATTCGTCTGTCTAGGTAAACACGGCCAATACTCTTTGTCTCTTAGATAGACTTGACTAATTTGTATGACAGAATACGGGCTTCTTGTTCGTCTGTCATGAAATCAAAGCCAGATTCATCGCATATGGAATATTTCATCGCGCCGTATACCGAAATGAACAATTCGGCGCGCAGTAAAACCGTGAAACTTATGGCTAGAGCAGGAAAATATTTCGTTTCCGCACAAGATTGGCGAAAACTTTATCCAGTTATTGCTCAGAATGTTTTTTCCACTAATAAGAAGGTTCGACGAGCGCAGAACCAAAGAAAACATAGATAAGATAACTGTGCTCCAGAGGCCCAAAAATCGAAGAAATGTAACAATTACAAGTAACACAATGGGCCTATTAGAACTCAGGTAAGCGTGCAACCAGCGCCGAGCGCTGGAAAACAAACAGCTGTAACGAGCGCGGGAAAGCGTGCGCTGGAAAGCCACCAATCTTTTTGTTTTGCTTCTGATCGGTCGAAGACAGCAATGTGTGTATGAAGCACTGTGCAGTTGTTTCCCGTTTTGGATGTTTTACTTATTTTTTTTCTCTCGTTAAAATCAAGAAAATGTGACATGCAACTTTTTCGGCATCCTTGAAAATTAAAACGCCTTGTACATGTTAATCGTGCGTGAGCATATTTCTCATTCGTAGATCTTAGTAGCCACATCTGAATGGTTCTCTCATCGTTTTCTTTCCGCCAATAGACAACGATCGCGCGCTGCTCTTGCAACTGAAAATTATTCTTAATATTAAGCTTAAAAAAAACACAAAATTGCAGGTTTAGTGCTGTAATCCTTTATAGTGTCTACTAAAATAACTAGACTAACTATTCGCCCTAGTTTTCTATCAGTGATAGTCAACTTGGCTACGCTTCGTTGTCTGTTCGCTCATTGAGAGCTCCTTAATAGTCTTATTGTTAATTAGAAACTGAGGTAAAGCAAAGAAAACTTGAACTATGCTGTATAAAATGTGAGTCAGTAACTTATACATAAAGGATAGTTCAGTAATTTAAGGAAGAGTAAATTTTTCTTGACACATAACTTCATCACATAATCAGTTATTTTGCTTTCCTGCAGGGAAAGCAACAAAGTTTGCTTTATTTAAAAAACGACAGTTTATTCCAATGTAGTAGATAATGTAAATGATGCTTTATTTACGGTAATGCTGTAAAAAACTAACCGTTTAGTCATTAAAAAGATAACGTTGTAAATAAACTATTGTGGTATATAAAGACAACTTGATTTCTCTCTTTAAGTCTGATCGAAATATTGAGCTGCAAAGATGGCAGGAGTCTTCTGTGATGCAATCAAAATACATTTTGAAAAGAACTAAAAATACAAAAATTGATGGTGAAGAGTTTATTTTCTCGGCCACAGTCCTATTGCATAAAACGTCCTTTGTATAGGTGCAGGAGAGGACACAGTGTATTCGTCCAACACGTGCAGCTCCTTAAATTTCTTAATCACTCCTCCGCACCACCCTGACCGGTACATTCGGGACTACAAGTACCTCCCTAAGTAGGTTTATGCGTAATATTTGCTCTTTTGAAGATCCTTATCGTAAAAAAGTTCCGCACTTTACAAAGAATCGTAAACTTATCGTTATTTCAGTTAATGCATAGCTGTAATATGTTTTGTGAAGTTTATATGAAAAGGTCAATTTGAGGAGCGAGGTCAATTTATTGAGTTCATATCTTCCCGTGAGGAGTGAAATGATGTGAAGTTTATATGAAATAATTCATATATGAACTGCGGTTGTAGA